AAAAAAAAAAAAAAAAAAAAGAGGGGGGAAGGACAAAAATTGGGAACATTAGACATCTGGAAGATGAGTCTGGAATCGGTCACTTGCCTTTAGGAAACTCAGTTCACAAAAGTGTGACTGTTCAAAGGAACACTGATGCTCCCACTGGATTTATTCAGAGGCAGAAATGACAAAGACAAATGTGAACTGGTCTGCAAAGCAGAAAAAACTTATAGGAGATAGATGGGGTAGGTATTTAAAACCACAAGGAATCCAGGATGACAACTAGCTTCTTTGACCCTAACGTAAAAAGAAGTCATCTAAAACGAAGAGCAGGCTCATAGAAAGTTGTTCTTTCTTGAAAAACCTGTCTTCTCTCACATCAAAGTCAAATAATCAAAGATAAATATTCCATCCTCCCAGTGTAGTAGGGACCTGAATAGGACAGGGCACTTGTTTTCATTTTCTTCTTGTCAGAGTAATGAAAAGAAAGGCTTTCATTTTGTTCTTTATGTGGTTTTAGGAATACCTGTGAGAAAATTGCCTTTACTTTAGAGCAGATTCCATTTAAAACTAGTTTTGTTGGTTTAGGAATAAAGTTTCAGGCTTTTTGGGATATTTTGCATTCTCTCTCAAAACCTAATTTCTATGTCTCTAAGTTACTAGGAATCTACTCTCCATAGTATAGCAATATTTTAGATGATATAATTTAGCTAACTTGAGCAAAACTCCTTAAAAACAAAGAGCATAGCTTAGGTGTATGGTCTAGAGGCAAGAGGAAATGGAGTGGAAACGTAGTAAAAGATTGGTTTAGCATGTTTAATATTTACGCTCTTTCTGCCGGTTGCAGTTTACTCCTTAGAAGATGCGGATGGGACAGGGAAGGTGTGTGTACAGAAAAATTCAATTCATGAATACTCAGCCATGAAATGGAAAATCAAAATGAAATCAGTATGGCTGTGACTATCTTGGTCTATTAATAGTCAAATATTAATACCTACTTTTCTTTGAGAGACATTACTGAGTATGTACTGATAAGAAAAAAACCAATAGCTCAGGAAGAGGAACATGTTCAAGAAAATCATTTAGTCAAGGTTTGAATGACATGTGGTTTGCTTAACATTGTAATAGTCAACCAATTAAAATACATTTCTAATCCAAATGTATCTTCCAATTTAGAGTCTTTTGGAAAAAATTTCCAAAATGGATTACAACTTTTCATAGAAGTGACACATGGTCTTATTTTCCCAAAGACTTTGATTTAATATTTCAATGCAGTGGTATTTGACTTTGTTATATAGAATATTTAAACTTTAAAAGAAAATACCTTAATTTGCTTATGCATAAGCCTATTAAAAACATTTCTAGGGGCTCTTGTTATATTTTATTCTCTAGAACATAACTGATCTTTGAAGTGGTATATTAGTCTTTAAAAAGTCATTCCCAAGCTAAATAATTAGACTGAAAACAAAAGCTATTCTTAGAATGTGTTTCACATATAAAGCTATGCACATGATGCTTTGATTCAAATAATATTCTTATAAAACTTTGTTATTGTTTGAGGTCTATATTCAGAATGGCAGCTTTTGTTTTTGATGATTATTCCATCCTGAAACAATTTTTCCCCCTGCCCAATTACACCAGAATTAGGAGCACATTTATATCTGATGAGGCTTAAACTTCTTAACTGCCTGCTTCAGAAATGAAGACCTTTAGTAGTTCTGCTCATTTTGTCTTAAGATTAAAAAATAAATAAATACCCCTGCCCCTCCAAAATCAATTCACTTTAGTGTTTCTGAAGGAGGAGGGTTGCTTTTGTTGCTTTGATCTTAGCATGTTGTGCATTTCTTTATTGACTGTGGAATATAAAAAGCCATAGGCTCATCTGTTTTCCCTGCTATCTTCTCATATTGTAAATCACATAAGGCCTTCCAATTTAAAGTAAAATGCCTACGTCCAAAGTCTCATTTCAAAAAGGTTTATCATTGCAATTGATAGAAAGATTTGCAGGGTATAAGAAAACTACCCAACGGTTTGACTAATATGCCATGGACTGCTGAAAATATATTCATGCACTTTAGAGAATGAATTCCAGGATATAGGCATACATTCATGCTATTTTAGATTCCTTTTCCTACCATTGCAAGAGGCTGTTTTAGCTAATGTGACAGCTGGCTAGGTTATTGCTTTGACAATATAATCCATAATGCAAAAGCAGCTCTTTTCCAAACATTTTAGAGCAAGTCAAGTTGTTTACATGTCTCTGTTACATGAATTTTCTATAATTTTGTACCAATTGGTGTCATACTATTTGGTAAAAATCTTCATTAAATCAAAACAACTGCACTTAGTTAAATTTCTCTCATACAGAGAATTATAGAACAATTATAGTGGTTGATTTGAAGCCGTCACCAGGAAGCAAATACGGGGTTTTAGAAAATGAATGCAAACTACAAAAAGGGAGTGGTATAATTAAACATCAAATAGTCCAAGTAATAAAAGTCATAGATTAATTGTCTTTCAGTTCTAGTCAGATCCTTTAAATACTGTCTCACAACTTGAGCATTGGTTCGTTCATCAGAAGAGTGCCTATCCTTAAAGTTTGGAAATTTTAGCTCTTTTGGAGCACCAATCATCTGTAAAAAGTAATTGGCATCTTCTTCCAAGGTTTCAAACTTCCCTATAAAATCATAGTTGATCAGACATGGGTAACAGAGTTTGTTGACCTTTTCCCAGTGAATGTCCATTCCTACTGGACGATGGGAATCCAGCAAATAATGGACGAACTCTTTGAATTTAACTCCAGAGCCATTATTTAATTCTTCTGCACAGGCATTTGGTCGATATTTCTTTATAATTGCCTTTCCAAATATTGGATGATAATAACTATTGGGGTGTTCAAATTTGTCTCTAAATGCTGACACTAATCTTTCCATGGGATCACGAACAAACACAGCTTTGGTGTAGGTATTTAAGCGAGTATATATCCCTTTTAAGTCAAAGCTATCTAGCTTTTTCAAATGCTTCCCATAGTGAACAGCATCATGGGAAATATTGTGTGCAGAGGAAGCCAATCCATTTAGTACCATCAGGATTCTTTTCCAGTTGGAACAGCCAGCCTTCGGGACTTCACAGTATAAGATTTTGTGCTTATCTTCTACATAGATTCTGGATACCATATGAAAAAGATGTGATTGCGGATGGCTCACCCCACTGTACCTCTTGCAAAACTCCTGAAGAAAAGACCTACGTTTCTCTTGGATTGCATCGGTTTTCTTCCATTTGAGGTCATCAACTAAACTTTTGTTTAAAGGGCGAATGTCCAATGGCCAATTCATTTTGCTGAACTTCTTGAAAAGAGTCCTCTCTCCTTGATGTTTTTCAATCAACTTGCTTGTTGGAGACCCTGTGGTCTTACTCAAAGCTGCATCCCCTCTTTGTAAGTGCCTCATCTTTGTTAAAACTGTAGTAAACCTCCCAGAGTTGAGTAGGTTTTCTTTTTTTCCCTTCAGATCCTCAGGCATGTAAAACTTGGGGTTCTGTTAAAATAGAGAAGAAATATTGAAAAGAATACTGATATATATGTGGGTATATTGAATAAGAAACTTACCATATTTCTTTTAAAATAGTATCAAGGAGACATATTTCTTAAGAGTGGCTGAATATATATTTTATAGTAAGATTCTTCATAGAAAAATGAAACAACAAAAAATGACACCCAGGGAACCAGCAGTTAGCGTAATGGCTATGTCACTGGATTCCCATGTAGTCGACCGCGGTTCGTGTCCCGGACCCAGTGGCTTAAAACTCACGCCGGGCGCGTGTGCGTGCGTGCCCAAGATCCTGAGAGGAGAATGGAGGAGAAGGGATTGCGGCGTGACCATCCCCCCTGGGGGGTGATTTCTCGCTTTCTGTCTCTGTGTCTCTCTCTGTCTGTCTGGCAAGCGCACACGTCCTACAGTTGTTTAAAGGGCGAATGTCCAATGGCCAATTCATTTTGCTGAACTTCTTGAAAAGAGTCCTCTCTCCTTGATGTTTTTCAATCAACTTGCTTGTTGGAGACCCTGTGGTCTTACTCAAAGCTGCATCCCCTCTTTGTAAGTGCCTCATCTTTGTTAAAACTGTAGTAAACCTCCCAGAGTTGAGTAGGTTTTCTTTTTTTCCCTTCAGATCCTCAGGCATGTAAAACTTGGGGTTCTGTTAAAATAGAGAAGAAATATTGAAAAGAATACTGATATATATGTGGGTATATTGAATAAGAAACTTACCATATTTCTTTTAAAATAGTATCAAGGAGACATATTTCTTAAGAGTGGCTGAATATATATTTTATAGTAAGATTCTTCATAGAAAAATGAAACAACAAAAAATGACACCCAGGGAACCAGCAGTTAGCGTAATGGCTATGTCACTGGATTCCCATGTAGTCGACCGCGGTTCGTGTCCCGGACCCAGTGGCTTAAAACTCACGCCGGGCGCGTGTGCGTGCGTGCCCAAGATCCTGAGAGGAGAATGGAGGAGAAGGGATTGCGGCGTGACCATCCCCCCTGGGGGGTGATTTCTCGCTTTCTGTCTCTGTGTCTCTCTCTGTCTGTCTGGCAAGCGCACACGTCCTACAGTGAAAATCTCTCCCCCCCCCAAAAAAAATGACACCCACAGAATGGGAAGGTAGGGATCCAGGATAGTCATCCTGGCTTTGCCTGTTGCACGACAGAATGTTACACAATTCTTTTGTGCATCAGTGATCTTACTATGAGATATTATTGAGTGATGAATTTTTTCTATTAGAAAATTTTTATTTTTCTAAATTTATGGATCATAATAATTTAGGAGCTATAATCATCACCATACAGTTTTATTCATGTAAGAGACTTTCCCTCTTATCCCAAGTGAAGAATCACTGAGGAATCCAGAAACATCCACTAGATGTCCTGTTGTGTAAAATTGTATTAAAAGTAGAATAGGAATTTAGTTCTGTTGTCTGACGGATGAATCAACTAATTTGCCATGTACTCTCGATCTGACTGTATCTTTTCTATGACTCTTACTGTGGCTGAATAAAAGAAGACATGAAAGTTGGGATTTATAAGGTGGCACCCTCTGATAGGGAAAACCATAGGACTTGAGCTTTTATTCTGGGTAAACTAGGAAGCCTTTAGAGAACAGAGAAGTAATATGATCTCCTCTCGCCCTAAGAATGGTTTTGAAGAAGACTGTACTGGAGATGAGTTTACATAGTTATCATCATGTTATCAGAAAAAGTAACAAGTGATATGCTATAGGAGCAATGCACGGTGCCACCAGCCTAGAAGTGGGGGAAATGGTGGGATTGTTTCCTGTATTTCCATTGTATTCCCAGTGTTTAGAATGGTCGAATGAATTTGTCAAATGAATAATGAATGGAATCAGTTCTTCAAGGATATTAGGGATTTTCCAGCAAATTGAGATAAAGAGCAGAGAAACAAACACAACACTTTGGATGGAGCCATTTCCTCCCACGATGGTCCTTCTACCAACTGAGCTTTAAAGATGCTGCTTCTTTACTGTGTAAGAAGAGTATATGAGTAATCCCTGGCTTACCATACACCAGTTTGTGGAGCCCCATAGAACAGCCACCCGAAACCTTCCTTACCATTCAGCCAACTATTTGGGGTTTCCGCTCTAAAGTCATGTGTATGCTATCCTTGCCTGCCAGAAGACTTCAAAGTCCTGTATCCTTTTTTATGTTGATTGATAATTTATTGTCCATAAAGTGTTTATGGATAATATAAAAATGCTCAAGTTTGTTTATTTATTTATTGAGAGAGAAAGAGAGACAGAGAGACAGAGAAATAGGCAGGTAATTTTGTGGCATTTTGCCACATTATAATTCTATGCCAAGTATTTTCGCTAGTTAAAATCATGGGTGCACCTGTAGTGTTTGGCTGACCCAGAAGCGAAAACTGGGGCCTCCCCAGAAGGTTCTAGTATCATGCGATGGTGTACTGCCTATCGTGTGGCTGGACCTGCTAATGCAAAATTTGACTTGATATTTGAAAAGTTTTAGGGTTGTTGATAGATATGCATGCAAAGTACTTAATACAGGGCTGAACTACAACTGCCACTTTATTTCCAATATTACTTCTATATTACAAATATAAACAATCATTGCTATTGTTGCTGTTTAGTAGTAGTATAGTAGTGCTTGCCAGCAGTGACCTGGTAAAGTTCAAGATTCTCCACTTGTTCATTATTGTCCAGATTGTAATTTGTATGTCTAATGTACCCTCATCAGTCCCCTCCTCTGCCCCACAGAAAAAAATAAAATCAGACTTCCACTGTGCCCTCTGGACCTTCTGATCTGTGGTCATCAAATCTTTTAATCTTTAGGGACTTCTGGAATGTTTGTTTCCCACGACTTTCTTTAAATGAAATCTGGCTGGGCCCCAAGACCTCTGCTTCACTTGCACTTTCTTAAGTGGATGAAACTTCACTTCCTGGAACTACTTTGCCTCAGGCCAGAAGATAGGGAGCTATTTCTTTGCAGTGCCCAGGACATCACTTAGCAGACCTACTTCTTCTCTTACAAGTTTCCCTTCCTTCTCTTCCTCCTGCTGTCATCAGCTTTTACCACTGACCTCTCCATTCATGCACTGAAGACCCCAGCTTCTAACTCAGGCTTTGCTTCTCCTTCCTTTCTCCTGTCATTACTGGTGATACTGACCTCCAAAGACTCCTCAGTTCCTCAACCTCCTTGTTCGTTATTTTTTATTTTATTTTTTGAGAGGTTTTTGCTACAGGGCGTGTGTGCTCGCCAGAGAGACAGAAAGAAACAGAGAGACAGAAAGTGAGAAATCACCCCCCCAGGGGGGATGACCAGGCAGCAATCCATTCTCCAGTCTCCTCTTGTGCCCGGTGTGAGTTTAAGCCACAGGGGTCTGGTACTCGAACAGCAGACAACTACATGGGAGTTCAGCGACATAGCCATTATGCTAACTGCTGGTCACTCGATCGCCTTGTTCTTGACTTCACATAAATCAGCACCATCACCATCACTGGAGCTTGTACGCCCTCCATCATCTCTCTGACAACCATTGTCTAAATCTCCAGCTCTTTCTTACTTGTTTTACATTTTTTTGGTCACTTTTTGTTGTCTTCTAGGTTCTTAGTAGCCAGTACCACTGGTTCTTCATTCTTTAGCTCTTAGTTACCTTCACTTTCCTAGAGAGGCTTTCTCTATACACCCTAAGTTAAGTTCCCCACGATTCTCTTCCGCACACCCTGCTTACTTCCCTCACAGCATCAATCACAATGTGCAATGACTACTTATTCACTTCTCTGCTATCTCCTTCCCCCAGTCTGCCTCCATCACATTAGAGTGTCACTACAGAGATCTTACCTTTCCTGTTCTCTGTGCATTTAACAGTGCTTGCCACACAAAAGATGATCAATATATAATTACTAAAGGAAAACTGTGACCCTAACTTAATGAGGGGCTTCCAAGTGTTTTCTAACCTTGCTGAAGGACACCAATGTTAATTAAAAAAAAAAAGGTTAAGATCAACTTAGATGAATAATTGGCTAATTATTGTTAAGATTCTGAAAAATTTGTGTTCCAACAAATCTTTGGTGAGAGAAAGAGAGAGAGAGAGAGGGAAAAAAAAACAACACACTGTGAAGCTGCTTGTGCTAAAGTAGGTGTGGAGGCTTAGAGCCTTACCTGGCTGCCAAATCAGATTTGTCTAGTCTCTCAGCCTTGATTTGGAACCCCTGGAGGGATTACCAACAGTCTGAAATCCCAGGCCAGCCAGTGTACACAGAGAATCCGGATTCCTGAGGGTGGGGCTTCTAGACTAATTTAAATAAGTGCCCAAGGTGCTCCATAGACAGTGGTAACATCTGGGACTATTAGACTAGAGCATAACAAAGGGATTTAAAGAAACAAGGGACAAGCCCCGAATACTTTCCCATTCTCTCCAGGGGAGAAAGACATCACACATGACAGACTTGAAATATTTTAGTAAGAAGAAACAGGACCTGGATATAGGGGAGAGGTGGCCCCTTAGTTCTCACACAGTTCAGAAGAAATATCTTTTCTGTTTATCCACTTACCTTTGTTGGAAGCCCATGTTCACCGGGCAACTTTCTAGTGATGCGTTTAGTTAGGGGATACCAAAAACTACATGTGAGAAAGACTTGTCACTCGTTATAAACTAGACTTCAATCTTCTGTTATGTGGTGCTAGTCACTTTCTTTTACTCCAACCAAATCAAGATATGGGAAAAGAGGTACTTTTTAAAAAAGTGATGGCACTGATATCCCATGAGCTCTTCCAGACGACTACCAGATTTCCTTCCAGACCATTTCAGCTCACCTTCATTTACTTTGTAAAATCTGGTATTAGGATGTAGTGACATCCCTCCCACTACACAGCCGAAGCCTTTTCCCTTCAATCACAGCAAAGGCTTTCCAGGACTAAGGGGTCTGGATTACTGGAATCAAAGCTAATGGCATTCTCTCAGTTTCACATCCTGAGGTCTCCCTGTGCAGGCCAGGTATGGGCTTGCCTGAGATCCAGGCTGGGTGGGGCTGGGGAGGGGATTGCGGTGTGAAGACCCTATTGGTGATGTCACTTCTCTGGACCCCTGCCCCATCTCTGTCATGTGGAAGACATAAATAACTAAATATACAAGCTAATGATTTTTTAAACTTAGGGCTTATACCAATGAATTCACGTTACTATTATCATAGAGATAACAACAACAAAAAAAAGAGTAAAATCTTTCATCTCCATTTTCCTTGGGGGCTCAACTGCATATAAAACCAAACTAGCCTGTTTCTCCGAAAGTGGCTCCTCTTTTGCTTTTTTCTTCTTCTCAGATGGTTCCATTTCTTGCTGGTCACCCACTCACAAAATCTGAGACAAGCTTTAACAATCAGAAAGTAAATTGGCTATTTTACATCTCATAATGCCTCTTACTTTCATCTTTTTAAATTTATTACCTCTTAATTGGATATTCTTTAATATTCTCCTAATTAGTCTCCCTGCAAGTTATGACTAAATTAGCTTTTCCCAAACTTTTTATTTTGTATTCCGTATGTTTTGGACTGGCTCATTAGAAGTCAACTGAAGTTCCAAATTTCTTAGCTGGCATTCAATTCTGGTGCTGAAGAGCTCCTTCCCACCTTGCTTTCCGTTTCTCTCTTGACACATACTC